TTTCTGGACTTTCCCTTTGTTCCAACAACAGATGGGGACTTTCTACCTGATGATCCAGAAGAGCTTCTGCAGGATGGGCACTTTCAGGTCAAACCCATTCTCATTGGTGTCACCTCCGATGAAGGGTCAACTTTTGTGCCATATCTTTTTCCTGGCATAAACGATGGCCTAATAACTTGGGAACAACTACTGAGAGGAGCGAGCAGAACACTAAGGAAGGCTACTGAAGAAACTGTTCAGGCTGTGGCGCTGAAGTACAGTGTGGAATGCCATGGTCCGGCACGACACCGTTGGGCCATGTCACGTCTTTGTGGCGATTACTTTAGTGTATGCCCAGCAACTGAGTCTGCTGGAAAGTTCACACAACGTGGAAGCCCTGTGTATCTTTACTCCTTCAGGCATCATTCCTCAGGGTCCGTTTGGCCCAGGTGGATTGGGGCACCGCATGGTGCTGAGCTCCCTTATGTGTTTGGGACCCTTGAGTCAGTGTTGGACGTCAACCAAACATACACGCAGGCCGAGGCAGCCCTGAGCAGTCGGGTGATGCAGTACTGGGCAGAATTCTCCAGGAGTGGGTAAGGCGCAAACATTTCTCTTTTTCATGGAGAAGGCTGTACCATCCATTCAATAAACATAACAAAATACACAATATTTTGATACTGATCTCTAAGCAACAGAACCAGGGGTGGGGTTAGTAATTTAAAACTTTCACAACCCAGGCATGTTGGGCACAGATTTGCATAAAAGCAATCTAAAGAAGATGCTCTCTCTCTCTCTCTCTCTTTCTCTGTCTCTCTGTGTGTGTGTGTGAGAGAGAGAGAGAGAGAGAGAGACAGGGAGGGAGGGAGCGAGAGAGAACAAGAGCAAGAGCGACCAGCTTTGGCAGCCTCTGGAAGTAGAGAGTTAACCCTTCTCTCCTAGCTGCCATCTGCCTTGAAAATTACTTCTTGCAAGGCACTTAAGTTTAGGAAAAAAGTCCACCAAGAGACCTGCAGGCTCTGCAAATAGATCCAGGAACATGTGAAATAAATTTGCGGTTGGGACCTCATGCATGCGGGCCCAGCCATGCCCACAAGCTCAGGAACAATCTTCAGCATCTTGCGAAGGCCCTCACAGATAAATATTCAGTTATGTTTTTAAGGGGGAGAGGAATATATCTTCCTTCAGTTTAATAACATTGATTCAGTTTGGATTCAGAGATTCACAAGCATATGAATGCTTTGTAAATGGTTGACTAAGGACTAGTAGAAGCCATTATGTAACTTTGTGCAAAAGATTGTGCTCAAGCAAATGTTGGGAAGCTGTGCAAGAGTTTCTCATAGAATGAGAAGAGATTGTGGAATTCATGCACAAATGCAGACATGCCTCTTCTCTTTACATAAAGATCTTACACCGTCAGGAAAAAGGGTCCTACAGCACACAACAGGCATGCTGCTTTCCGAAGGGCATGGCTGAATTCAGCTCCCTGGTCATCACAGAAATTGCTTTTACAAGAAGTTTGTTAGCCAGGAATCAGCAGGTGAACTTTTCACCAGTGTAGCAAAAGCCAGTGGACTCAGCTAATATTTACCTATTAAATGTAATAGTGCAGGTGCCAAAAAACCAAGTAACAAAGCAATCTAATCCTATACATGTTAATAGGACTTAGTCCCTGTAGGAATATTTTAGGATTGCAGCTCAACTCTGTGGTTTTTATGCAATCCTTGCCACACTTAACTTGGAACAGAACATGCAGCAGAGCTAATATCTGAGTAAACATGCATGCAATTGCACTGTAAGCCGCCAGGCACTCCAGTTTGGGCAGAATTGTGGGATAGAAATGCATTTAACAAGGAATAAGGTGCAAAAGATTTGTATCCATGTTGCATTGTATAATTTCAGGATAGAAAGCCAGACAAAGAGGTTTTAAGTCTGCTCCTGCTGCATATCCCTCTCCCACCTGTTTACCTTTAAGTTGTCCTGTGGGAAGGATACCAGGACAGAGGCCTAGATGAGCCACCCACTCCTTTTCCAGCTGCACTCCTGAAGATATCTTTTAAAAATGTGATAATTCTGTATATTGTGAGTTTATTGCTTTTATGTTACCTGTAAGCTCCTTTGGTAGGATTTGTATCCTGAAATGTGGCATATAGTATTTTGTTCCCCATGCTATTTAACATCTACATGAAACCGCTGGGAGAAGTCACCAGGAGGTTTGGGCTGCAGAGCCATCAATATGCTGATGACACCCAGCTCTACCTCATTTACATCTGCTCCAGTTGAAGTGGTGGCTGTACTGAACCGGTGCCTGGCCAAGGTAATGGGCTCGATGAGGGCCAATAAAATGAGCCTCCATCCAGATAAGATGGAAGTCCTGTTGGTGGGTGGTGCGGGTCTCCAGGTAGGTGATTTTGACCCAGTTCTCGATGGGGTAGCACTCCCTCTAAAGGACAGGGTCCGCAGCTTGGGAGTACCCCTTGACCCGGAGCTGTCACTGGAGTTCCAGGTGGCGGCGGTGGCAAGGAGTGCTTTCCTACAACTTCGACTGATCCGTCAGCTGCATCCTTACCTGGATGAGCACTCCCTAGCAACAGTGATACATGGTCTAGTAACTTCCCGCTTGGATTACTGCAACGCGCTCTATGTGGGGCTACCCTTGAAAACGGTCCGGATACTTCAGCTGGTACAGAACAATGCTGCCAGGCTGCTGACAGGGACCGGCCATTATGCTCACATAATGCCGATCCCCTACCAGCAACACTGGCTCCCTATTGAAGTCTGGGTCCAATTCAAGGTGCTGGTTTTAACATATAAAGCCCTGAAAGGCTTGGGACCAGGATACCTGAAGGAGCACCTCTTCCCTTACATGCCCTCATGCTCCTTAAGATCTGTGGGAGAGGCTTTGCTTCGGGAGCCCTCTTTAAAGGATATAAAAAGAACAACTACCTGGAACAAGGCCTTTTCTGCAGTGGTGCCCAGATTATGGAATGCCCTCCCTGGAGAGGTGTGCCTGGTGCCAAGTTTATATTCTTTTTGGTGCCAGGTTAAAACCTTTTTAATTAATTGCTATTTTAAAAATTAATATTTTATCATCAACCATCAATTTTTGTTTTTTATTAATGTTTTTATATAATTTTATGGAATTGTTGTTGTTTAATTGGTTTTAAGTGTACGTTTGAATTGTTGTTGTTTGTCCCAAGATGCCGAGGCATGTGGTGACGGCATATAAAAGTTTTAAATAAATAATTAAACATAAATGGTTTAATTGTTATTGTTGTAAGCTGCCCCGAGGCTTCGGCGAATGGGGCGGCATAAAAATGTTTTAATAAATAAATAAATAAATAAATGTAATAAAAACATTAGTGTACAATTGTGTACTGCTGCCTTTTTACCCTTAAAGCTGTAGTGGTATTAGTCACCAAGATGTAAATTTGAGGATGACAATGGGGCTTTGATTCTGTAAACATTTTGAGGCCCTGATCATACAACATAGCAGGATAGACCAAGAAAGGAACAGTAAACTCATGTTTGATCACAGCTCCGGCACAACCAGCAGCCCTACTGGCCTGTAAGCATGTTCTGTTCCCTCTGCAGGAATCCCACAGGGTCGACGGCCAGCACGGTCCAGTGGTCACGCTGTACCGCCACGCAGCAGAACTTCTTCCAGCTTAGCACTGAGCCACCCCAGATTATGAAGGTATCTCCTGCCCGGCATTGTGGTTTCTTGGACTCGTTTTCTTCGAAGACTGCGAATCCACGTGAGTCCGGCTATTTCTCAGGGCAGGAGAGTGCGTTTGAATGAGAGACAAGGGGTGACTGAGCCCCCTGTGAGAAACATTGCTGGCAATTTTGCTTTCTATTGAAGCTGAGACCTCTCTGTTCTGAATGATTGTCGCATACCTTCTTTGAGCAGGGGACTGCTTACTCACACTCGTGCGGCTCAGCAGGGAGCCATCAAGCTGGGCATAAACACTGATGATTAAAGTGAAAAAGTTCTCTGGCACCTACAAAATCCTGAAAACTGTTTCTGCCGCCCCGGCAGTGCTTGGGGACCTTTGCCAGACACCCTCTTTGACGTTTTCTCCTTTGGCCGAACGCATACAGCACACAATGTTCCTGGTGGCTTTTTCTTCTGGCTCCAACACCCTTCCCCAGCAGGTGGAGAGGTCACGTCCTTGGGCCTTGGCATAGCCAAGGACTCTCCACACAGGCTTCCATTGTTCACAGTCCATGGTTAAGGAGTAGGTTGTACCCAAAGCCTGAGAAAGGCTGAGGTGACCATTTCACATAACCAAATAGCATGACAATGACAGTATAGTTTTCTGAATGAAGCAATTTCAAGTTGACCCTCTCCTGTAATTGTCAGTAATTTCAAGCTGACCTTCTTTAGTGTTTTTCTGGGAGACCATCCCATGCCGTTTGCCATGTTTGATTACTTCTGGCTGAAGTACACCAGCAGGACGGAAATGAAGGGAACAGCAACTTCCGAGGCTGCTGGCACATGGGTGTCCCATGGGAAGCAGATGTTTGGAAGGGTACTTGAAATACTCTAGTACATATTATCTAGCATCTGAAATACTCTAGCACATACTACCATTACAAAATACTATAGATATGGCATAAAATGGAAATGTTGGCTTCTGTGGATGTGTAAGATTCCTTGAAAGGTTTCATTCTTTATATTATGTGATATTTTGAAATTAACAAAGCAGGCATAAAATATGTGGTAGTGCGCATTCCTAGTTGAATCACAATGTTTTCTTATTTTTGAGCCTAGCTGTGCAGGTTTCAGGCTTTAGGGTAGGAGTAGCTTTGGAAGGATAATGTGCATTATTTTGGTTGTGAAACACACACAACTCTTCTCTCCCCACAGTTCTTAAGTTTCACAATTGGTTCTATTCCTGTTGGAACAAATAAAATACAACCAGAAATTATTTGCCACCCCTGATATATATACAAAGAAATACTCTTGAGTGTGAGCAGCTTTGCATTTTAAATTCAATAAATCATAATGCTATGACCTCTACAGGGACTGAGTTTACTTCTGCTGTCCTGATTCTGTTGCAGAAGTATTTATTTATTTTTATTTATTTAAAACTTCTATACCCCATCTACCACTGGTGTCTTGGGATGGCTTACAATAAGAACAATAAAATAACAAAACAAAGTAGAATATAACTTCATAGTAAAAAGAATAAAATCAGCACATACAAACATATACCTTGGAAGCAAAAAATGACAAAACTAAAGCTGTCATACTTTGGGCATATTCTGAGAAGACAAGATTTATTGGAGAAGACAGTAATCTCTTGGGCTTCCACGGGAGGTAGTTGAGGGCCCATCGGTGAGGGTGTTCAAGGATGAGCTAGACATGCACATGGTAGGCATGTTGTGAGCAGAGCCGGCTAGAGCCAGGGGTCAGACTAGATGGCCCGGGAGGCACCTTCTGGCTTGCTTAGTTTCTCTGTTATGCTAGGGAAGGTTGAAAGCAGAAGATGACCAAAGATGAGGTGGATTGACTCCATAAAGGGAATCACAGCCTTGAGTTTACAAGAGTGAGCAGGGCTGTCAAGGACAGGACAATCTGAAAGGCATGCATTCATAGAGAGAGGGATGAGGAGGAGTGACCCTGTTGGTATTCCTGGACCTCTTGGTGGCTTTCAATTTCATGGTACCCTCCTGGGACCACTCTGAGTTGGGAGTGGGAGGCATTGTGTTGCAGAAGTACCATTCCCACTTGAAGGACGGTCTCCAGATGGTGGTGCTTGGAGAATATTGTTCAGACCCATGGGTTCTCCAGCGTGGAGTTCCTCAGGGGTCTACTCCATTCACCATACAATTTAACATCTACATGAAACTGCTGAGTGGGGTCCTTTGGAGTTTTGGAGTAAGTTGCCATCAGTATGCTGATACCACATAGGTCTATTTTGCCTTTCCATCATCAGCAGGTAAGGCTGTGGATGTGCTAAACCCATGCCTGTCTCTGACAATGGACTGGATGAATAACAGAATCAGAACAGTAGAGTTGGAAAGAGCAAAAAGGCCATCGAGTCCAATCCCCTGTGGTTGCAGGACACCAATTTATACCATCCCACTCAGATTTTTGAGTTTTTTAATCCAGTTTCTTTTAAATATGTCCCTAGGGAGAGAGAGAGCCCACGATCTCGCTAGGCAACTGGTTCCACTGTCATATTGCTCAGTGTCAGAGGAAACTTTTCTTGATATGGAACCTGAATCTGGTTTCTCTCAACTTGAGCTGATTATTCCATGCCCTGCATAGCGAGAAGAGATCTTGCCCTTCCTCTTTGTGGCAGCCCATCTGGTACTTTTAAAGTGATATAATTGTTTTATATTGTTATATTTATTGAATTTGTAAGCCATCCAGAGGTGCATAGTGATTGGATGCGTTAGAAATGTCCCATAGATATATCGCGAGCTAATAAACTGAAACTCAAGCCAAATAAGAATGAAATGTTGGTGGGTGATTTTTCTGACCGGACTCTAGATGCACAACCTGTTCCAGATGAGGATGCATGCCTCCCCCACCCCCCCGCCAGAGAAGCAGGTTTATAGTTTGAGGGGTTCTCCTTCTTTGTCCATCTTAGCCCATCGAGGATCCGGTAGCTTCAGTGGCTTGGAGTGCCTTCTACCAGCTTTGACTAGTGGCCTGGCTATGCCCCTATCTGAACAGGGATAGGCTGGCTTCAGTCATCTATGCTCTGGTGAAGCAGCAGTCAAATTAATAATTGGGACCCATGTGTCTGAACACATAAGACCAGTTCTGGCCTGCTTATGTTGGCTTCCTGTATGCTTCCAGGCCCAATTCAATGCCAGTTTTAACTATGCAGCCTTAATCATTTGGGACCACAGTACCTGTTGGAGGTCTCTTCCAACTACAGTCTACTCAGACATTGTGCTCCACCTCTGGGGCCTTCCTCCAAGTGCCAGCTCCAAGGGAGATTCAGAAGGTGGCAAAAGGGGAGTGGATCTCTCTGTAACGGCCCCCCATCTGTGGAACAGTTTCTGCATTGTGGCCCACCTGACACCAAGCTTGCCACCAACCTCAGGCCTGTAGCCTGAGGACCTTAAAGATCTACTTGACTGCCCAGGGCCTAGAGCAGACTGCCTATCCCAGGTGTTTTTACAGGGTCATTTTTTACTGTATATTTCAGCCGCTTTAATTTTTTAATGCTGCTTTGATTTTATGGGAAACGTTTCTATATTCCAAAGTATAAAACATAACTTTTTATTAGGGGAACTTCAACACTGCCTGCTGCTGGGTTGTTTTGGGAGCCTTGGGCAGCAGGTGTCCTGACTTTGGACCCAAGGACCAGCCCTTTTGCTACATATGCTTTTGCTGCTTGTCTTTCACATAGCAAAAAAACATATCTGCACTTCAGAATTAAACTGGTTTGTCAGTAAGTGCTGTGAGCTGCGTTGTCTCCCTCCGACAAACACAAACCTCAAGCTGCTTCTTTTGCATAATGCTATTTACTGTTTCTACATATGAATCCTCTAGCCAAGTCTCTGAGCATGCACCAAGCGGTTTGCTGACCCCAGTGTGGTGATTACTATCCAAAGCTCCCCTTATGAACCTGTGTCCCATTCTGGGGGATGCACGCTGTGAAAATGGGCACGCTTCTGCTCCTCCCGTTGTGCTCCAAGTTGGGCTTCCCTCTGGTGATGGTGGCCAGCCACTGGGTCCACCTTCCCAAGGGGTGGGGGTTCTTCACTGGAGGAACTTCTTATGTCAATGTCCCCTCCCTGGGCTCTGACTCCCCAACACTCCCAGGGGAGGTTGATTTGCCTCCCCCCCCGCCCTTGGGCTAATCTCTTCCGCTGCTATGCCCTGTTGAGTTGCAGGACCTTGAACAACTGCCTGCTGTTCAGTCCCATGAACCTTTTCCAGCAAAATGGGCGTAGCTCGCATCCCATGGGAATGCTTGCCAGAGCCTGCTGTTATGCTTACTTACTACAGTAATCCTCTGTCCCTCCAAGGATCTGTAGCTTGGGGGTGAGGGGTTTATACTGGAAGGCTTTGAGTATTCTCAGCACCCTGGTCAAGACAAAATTGGTGGAATTCTTTAGTGGTAAGCCATGACAGTTAAACTGGTATGAAGCTAATATAGATACCAGGCTGCTGCTTGAGGTATTTCTTTTCTGCGAACTTGTACGCTCAGGTATACCAGGAAATGAATGGTTCTGCTATGTAAACTACCCACTGCCATTCATGTGGGTGTTGAACTTCATTGAACCATGACAGATAAATACCAGTGTGTTTATTTTATTATGAAGCAACAGTAACGGTAACTCCTTTCAGAGCCAAGTAAAATAATGAACCAGCTCACACAAAGACCTTCATCTTCTTTTCTTCCCTCAGCCCTCAGCTTCCCACTCCAGAGCTCCCCTTGGAAACCCATAGAGCTGCTTCAACTGGGATGGTGGTACAGAAATAGTGATAATGATAATGGTAACAATAACGATAACAACAACAATAACAACAATACCAATAATAATAATAATAATAATAATAATAATAATAATAATAATAGAAAAACCAGACCACCATCCATTCCTACTGTGAGTACAGCTGTCAACAATAAATATAACTTTATTGATGTGTCTGAACTTTAAGAAAACAATTTTTCTTCATTGCACCACAGGGGCTGGCAGTACTCCTGTTCCCTGACTGAAGCAGAAGACAAGAAGACAAGGGAGTTCTGAAGTTTGTGAAGGTGCCTTGAATTGGCCTGACAGAACCTTTCTCTATTTTTTAGGAAGGGAGACTTTAGTAACTGTAAAGTGCCTTGTGGGGAAGGTGATATATAAATTAATTAAATGCTAATTTCATTTTGTGATAAATCCCCACATCTGATATAGGTCCACAGTGCCAGTTAGAGCATCTGACACATTGGCATCCTGTTTAGGACACTGAATACTTTTATCTAGCCTATCTCACTTTGTCTCCCGGTGTGAAAACAAAAACATATACATTTTTCTT